CCAGCCCCAAGTGTTTCCATTTTAAAGGCAAAAAAAAAAAAAAGTAAAGTAGTGGTTTTGACTTCCTTGGGCAAACATGCTATAGCAGGTGGAATATAATGACTGTAGTAAGACCTTACTTAACAATAATTACTTGGATCTAAACGTATTAAATTCTCCAATTCTCTATGTTGCTTGTAAGAAACTCAGTCCCCTCTCAGGGCACACACAGAGTGAAGGTGGAGTCATGGAGTAAGATATTCCCTGCAAATGGAACCCCAAAGGAAGCAGGTGTAGCCACCCTTATGCCAAATAAAATGGGGTTTAAATCAATAGCAGTAAAAAGAGACAAGATTCCTATATAAGGATAAAGGGGTCAAGTGAGCAAGAGGAAATGATTCTAAAAATATATAAATATCAGAGCACCCCAATATATATAAAGCAAATATTAACAGACCTAAAATGACAGACAGACTTCAATACAGTCCCAGCTGGGGACTCTAACAGTCCACTTTCAGCAATGGACTCATCCAGTTGGAAAATCAAGAAAGAAACAGCAGAGTTAAACTGCACCCTAGACAAAATGGACCCATCAGACCTCTGTAGAACATTCCACCAAACTGCAGAATACATACCTCCTCATGTACGAAATGCTTTCTATATTGATTGTACTGGTTACCTACAGGTCAAAACTGATCAAACTGCATACTTCAAATGTGCGTTTTATTGTACTTCAATTTTCCCTTAATAAAGCTTTGGGGGAAATAAAAGGGAAAAAATAGGATAGATCCACAAAACAAGTCTTCAACAAATATTTAAAAACTGAAATCATAGCAACTATTGTTTATAAACACAATGTAATAAAACTAGAAATCTCAGCTGGGGTGTGGGTAATTAGAGTGCTTGCCTAGCATGTGTGAGACCCAGGGTTCGATCCTCAACACCATGTAAAAAATAAATAAATAAAATAAAGATATCGTGTCCAACTACAACTCAAAAATAAATGTTAAAAAAAAAAACTAGAAATCATTAACAAGAAAAACTTTGGAAACTATACAAATACATGGAAATTAACTTACTTTTGAACAACCAATAGATCAAGAAGGAAATTTATAATTATCTTGAACAAATGAAAATGGAGATACAACATACTAAAACCTATGGGATACAGCAAAAAGTATGACTAAGAAGTTGATAGCAACCGATGTTTATGTCAAAAATGCAGAAACTCCTGAAAGATAAATCTTCAGCTAGACTTAAAAAAGAGAGAGAAAATTCAAATAAATAAAATCAGAAATGAGAAGGGAGACATTCTCACCTGTGCCCCACATGGGTGGTGGAAATGGGGTTCCACTGGTGGAATGAGCTAGCTGAGAAATAAAAGCCAAGAAAAACAGAAGGATAAAAAATATCACAGAACACAGAAAGCAGTTTCAAAAGTGGGGGCAGAGTGGGCAAGCCAATCAGAAGGATCGAGCTTCTAGACTCTGGCCAAAATGGAGCCCACACCTGCTTTATTTATATCGAGAAACATCAAAGGCCTTCCTTAGAATGTTCTTCAGCAAAAAAGGTTAAAGGTGGGCTGTCCAGTTCCCAAAGGGTTACACCCATCTCTGGAGCTACCGTGAGGTATCTTCCAAGCAGAGTGGAGATAAAGATCACATGCATTGGGCAATCTATTGCTGCGGGAGAGTCACAGATAGCGTGCAATGCCAAACCTAAATCTCCTGGCTTCCATACCAAGCAAGAGAAAAGCCTCGTGTAATTCACGGATGGCTTCCTGCAAGACACTACAACTGACACCACAAAAATACAAAGGATCACTAGAGATTATTATGAACAACCATGTGCCAACAGATTTGATGACCTACAAGAAATGGACAAACCTCTAGACACGTATATACCTCACCAAGACTGGATCATGAGGAAATAGAACGCCTGAACAGACCAATAACAGGGAACAAGATTGAATCGGAAATAAGGTGTCCCATCAACGAAAAACCCAGGACCAGATGGTCTCACTGCTGAAATCTGCCAAGCACTTAAAGAAGAACTAATTCTAATTTTCCTTAAGCGATTCCAAACACATTCTATGAGGTCAGCATTATTACCCTGAAACCAAAACCAGAAAAGGATAAAATAACAACAACAAAAGAATTTGACAAGCCAATATCCTTCATGAACACAGATGCAAAAATCCTTAACAAAATATGTAAACCAAATCCAACAGTCCATTAAAGAGATCACTCACAGGGGACTGGGGATGCAGCTCAGTGGTAATATACCCGCCTAGCACGCACAGGGCCCTGGGTTTGATCGTCTGCACAGAAAAAGAATAAAGAAAAACCACCCTCCAGGGGGATTCATCCCAGTGACGCAAGGAGGAGGACCGGGCAGATAACATACTATAGAACGGGGAAAAGCCGGGAGCTTCCTAAGATCTGGAATGAGACAAGGGCGCCCACTTTCACCATTCATTCATCAGAGGGCTGGAAGTCCTAGCCAGAGCAACCAGGCAAGAGAAAGAAATAGAGGACATCCAAAAGAAGTAGTCAGATTGTCACTGTTTGCCGATGACAAAGTCTTATATATAGAAAACCCCAAAAGAAACCACTAGAAGAAACCAATTCAGCAAAGTTAGAGGACACAAAATCAACATACAAAAATCAGCAGCAATTGCTATATGCTAATAACAAGTTTTGTGAAATAGAAATCAAGAAAGCAATCTCATATACAATAACTACAAAAAACATACAGGAACAAATTTAAAGAAGTAAAAGATCTCTATGATGAAAAATTATAAAACTTTGATGAGAGAAGTTGAAAAGGAACCCAAAAGCAGAAAGACATCCCATGTTCATGGATTGGAAGCACTGATATGGTTAAAATGTCCCTACCACCCAACATGATCTACAGATTTGATATCATTCCTATCAAAATACCAGGAAAAAAAATTCTGAAAATTTATACAAAAAAAGTATATAAAAAAACCCCTAAGTCATCTTGAGCAAAAAGAATAAAGCAGGAGGCATTCCACCACTACTAGTTCTAGTTCTAGTAATCAAATTACTAGTTCTATTAATCAAAATGAGCATGCAACTGGCATAAAAATAGACACACAGATGAACGGAACAGAACAGACGCCTAAGGGTCAACCCATACACCCACAGTCAACTGACTATTGACAAAAATGCTAGGAGAAGCACTGGAGAAGGACAGTCTTTTCAGTAAGTGGTACTAAGACAACTGACATCCACATGCAGAAGAAAGAAACCAGATCCCTCTCACCAGTGACAAAAACCAACTTAAATGTTTTCAAGGTTTAGCTACCTAAGACCTGGAACTGTGAATCTTCCAGAATAAAACGGGAAAGGCTTCAGGACATTGGGACAGGCAAGAGTTTTTTTTTTTTTTGGATAAGACCCCAAAAGTACAGCACACAAAAGTGAAAGTAGACAGATGGGATCACATCGAACTAACCAGCTTCTACATGGTAAAGGAGACTGAACACAATGAAGAGACAACCTACAGAATGGGAGAAAACATTTACAAACTAATAGATCTCAACAGGTGTTTCCTAAAAGAAGATATACAAATGACAACAGGTATATGAAAACGAGCTTAATATCACTAATCATCAGGCAATGTAAAAACACAAAATTACTTCACCCCAGTAAGAATAGGTACTACTCAAAACACTAAAAAAGTGTTGGTGAGGATATGGAGAAAAGGGAACCCTTCTTTGCACACTGATGGTAGGAGTGTCAATTACTATAGGCACTATGGAAAAATGGTATGGAGGCTACTCAAACAATTAAAAACAAAACTAACCAAAAACTACCACCACATGATCCAAGAGTCCTGCTATTGGACATATATCCAAAGGAAATGAAACCAGTATGGTAGAGAGACATCTGCATGTCTATGATCACTGCCACACTACTCACAAGAGCCAAGAGATGGAAACAACTTAAGTGTCCATCAACTGGTAATTAAAAATATGCTATATATACACAAAGGAATAGTATTCAGCCATAAAAAAGTATGGAAAGGAATCCTGTCATTTGTAACATCATGGATGGAATTGGAGATCATTATTTGTAATAAGCTAGGCACAGAAAGACAAGTACAGCATAATCTCATGTGGAATTCTTAAAAGTTGATCTCATAGAATCTGAGAGCAGAATGGTGGTCATCAGAGGCTGTGGAGAGTCGAGGGGTGAGGGGGATGGGGAAGGCTGATCAGACAGGAGCAGGGAGTTCTGGTGTGCCACTGCTTTGCAGGGGACTACAGATAACACAACACTGCATCCTAACAAACATGTCAAAAAGCCAGAAGAAAGGACTTCATAAGTTTTTAAGATAAAAAAATGATGAATGCTTGAGGAAATAAATGTTTAACATGATTTAAGTGTTACACCATGTACACACGCTTGGAAAAATTACACGCAGTTAAAAAAATAAAAACCCCCAAATCCTTGGTCAGGTACAGCAGTGCCTGTCTAGAGTTCCAGCTACTCGGAAAGTTGAGGAAGAAAAATTGTTTGAACCCATGAGGACCCAGCCAGCCTGAACCATACAGCAAGACTCTGCATCTTAAAAAAAAAAAAAAAAAAAGTTTTAAAACAAAGAATCACCACGGAGTTCCTACCCCAACACTTACAGTGCTATGTATTTCTAAGGTACTGTTCTGGACGATTTTCAAAAAAATAAATATACATATATACATCAATGATAAATTTTCAAATCTCCATTGGCGACTCTTCTGATCCGGCAAATCGCTGGGTGACGGAGATGCGCCACGGGCTCCTCCCAATGATGTGCATTGAAATTTCCACCTCAATCCCCTGTTGTCACACTGTCACTCAAGGATATTGAGAGGTAATACTGGAAAGTCCTGCTGTCAGTCTTTTTTCAGGTCTCATATATTTGAAGCCATATTCCTTAGCAAGTTAACCACCCAGGAATAGGAATATTTGGTGAAAAAAAGATTGTAAAAAAGGTTTTGTAAGACACAAAGCTTTCAATTAAAAAGTCATTTATTCAAAAATATTTTCTACCAGTTCTCATTCTATATCAAATTAAATCAAGGGGCAGTGTTACAAAACAATAGCTGATCAGACCTTCCTGTTTAAGAGGAAGGCGATCACCTCATTTAGCTCATCAGTACAATCTTTGGAGGGTAACATACAAACTCAATTCATTAATTTCTTCATAAAAGTTCATAATTGGTACATACTACTTCATACCAAAAAAATACTTTGCAAAGTTTGTCTTCATATTTCAGTTATAGATTCAGCTAATATAAAGTGATACAGGCTTTAATAAAGTACCCAAGCAATGATCTGGGCTTTCCTTTCTTGCAAAATTCAAGGACAATGATATTGAGGTTTCGTTCCTGTTCACACAGTAGTTAAGAACTACCTGAGGCTGAGCTGCATTTCCATGTTTTGTTTTGAGTGATGACAACACACTGGGGACAACAGTGATCACATCAGAAATGCTCGGGGATCTCAAGGCTTAACCAGGAGTTTCTGACAGGATTTGAAGTTTTTATGAACCTCAAATTAATGTTCAGAATAAAGGCATTAAAAAAGGCCTCTAAGAAACATATAAAGGAATCCCTTTAGTATTCTCAGCCAAAAATACTTTGGGGAAGAACTTGTCGTTCCCTGTCTCTCTTCTTTGCAGTGGAGAGAGGGACCCAGGGCCTTGCACATCTAAGCGAGTGCTCTCCACGGAGCTCCATCCTCTAGCCCGGATCTCTCTTCCCGTGGTTCAAGAAGTTAGTCTTTTCTCAACAGTTTCTTGATAAGCAACAAACCTTCTCAAATTCATCTTCACATTGTCGAGAACACATAGCTGATCTGGACTGTATTTACCTCTCCCTTCTTTTCGTATCTGTGAAAAAAAAATTTATTTATAAAGTATTTCATTTGGGGTATATTTAATCATTTTTTTGAATAAGACTGCTGCAAGAATGTGGTAAAACAGTTTTAGTTCCAAGGTAAACAGAACACAGAACATGAAGAATAAAGATAATTTAAAATGTACATCTTTAAAATGATAGTTACAAAAATAACCAAGACTTTTTAAAAATAACTCTAGACTTTTAAAAACTGAGTTTTACAGCATGTGAGATATGTCTCACCTCTGGTCTAGACAGGTAGCTTTCAAGTTCTAGTGTGTAACAGTATCACCCGGAAGGTTTGTTTAAAAAAATGGGTTGGTGGGCCATCCACTGAGTTCCTGATGCAGAGGGTCTGGGGGTGAGGCTGAAAATCCACATTAACAACAAGGCACCTGGTACTGCTGGTGCTGCTGGTACCTTCACGAGGGCACCTTGGGGGCTGGGGTTGTGGCTCAGAGGTAGAGCACTCGCCTAGCACATGTGAGGCACCGGGTTTGATCCTCAGCACCACATGAAAATAAAGTATTATGTCCGTTTACAACTAAAAAAACATGTATTTAAAAGAAAAAGAGGGCACCTTGGAGAAACACTGCTCTATTGAAGTTCTTAATAGAATGTATGGTATTATATTTAAATACAACTTGAGGCTAAATAGGTACTAAACATTTTTCAATGCAACTGTGGCCGGTTTCCCACAAAAGGGCTTCACATAAGCAACTGCAGGTGAGGGCTGGGGATGTAGCTCAGGGGTACAGCACTTGCCCAGCATGTACGAGGCCCTGGGTTCAGTTCCTAGCACTGTAAAACAAAAAACATCAAAACCCCAAAACTGTAGGTTAGCCTTCCAGCTAACAAAAAAAATTTCATTAGGGCTTTATACCTTTGAGAAAAGAAATAGTGAGAAATGTAATTACCGCAGCAAAGCAGACTAAGTAGACAAATCAATTTGAACAATAGATTGAACAGACAGAAGCAAATGTCTAATTTAAAATCTAAAATATTGGGCTGGAAATGTGTTCAGTACTAGAATTTCATGCTAGCATGCTTGGGGCATTGGGTTTGATTCCTAGCACTATGAAAAAGGAAAAAAAAAAACACCCTAAAATATACAATGATAAATATTTGTATTTTTTCAGAATTACATAATTTTAAAATTGAGATTTAGATAAAAGATTGACACATGATTCAACTTGTTTTTAAAATGCCTACAGGGTGGAGGTGTATCAAAGTGGAGGAGCAGGTGCTTGCTAACATGAGTGAGGCTCTAGGTTCAATCTGTAGTGCTCCCACAAGCGCACATACACAAAGATCCTGGCTGCTGTCCTACCTGTCCCCACCAAAGGTTTTTGAAATTATTTTTGACTCAAAGTTAGGTTTGTTATTTGTGATAAACACAATAAATAGATAAAATTGCTAATAAAGGCAGTAATAGCTACTTTCTCCAGGATAGGAGGACTTGGAGTTTGCCTCTTTTCAAAAGAAAATATCCATAATAATAAAATCAAGATTTGATGTACTGTATGATATGAAATACATTTAAAATGTACATGAAAGTGCTTTGTTAGGTATAAACTACAGCATTTATGTATATGAAGACCCCCTCCCTGTTGCAGTACTGGGAATTGAACCTAGAGCCTCACACATGCCAGACAAGCTTTCTATAAGCGAGCTACATCCCCAGTCCTTTTGAAAAACATTTTTTTTTTTTTTTTTTGAGCTAGGGTCTTGCCAAACTGCCCACACCAGCCTCAAAATTGGCAATCCTCCTGCCTCAGCCTCCCAAGTAGCTGGGGCTACAGGCGTGTGCCACCACTCCTGGCTATATAGAGAATTTTAACAGTACTAACGTGTTAAAGAAATGAGGAACTTGTCAGATGTCATTCTGGCTCCAATTACAGTGATTCAACAGTCGGTGTGGAGCTATGACTCAGTCAAGAAGCATTTCACAAAGTACTGGGGATGAACTGCAATGTTAATCACTGAGATTTACAGGAATTCGACAGGCACAGGCCTCTAAACTGCAAGGTGCTAACTACACAACACCCTCTTTCCCAGAGAATGCCGAGACCCGTGCACTCAGATAACACAGCTACAAACCTTCATCTTGAAGACTGGCTGGAACTCTTTCAGAGCTGATAACAATTTAATTTGAACCGAGGCTTTTTCAGCTTCTTCACCATCTGCAAAAACATCAAAGAGAGCATCCAAAGCTTCTCCTGCTACCACAAGGGAGGGATCTTTGGTGGCTACCTCAAGCAGAAAGTGCCCAGTGGTCTGAAAACAGCAAACACATTACAACATGACTAAGGTCAGCCTCCAGATGAATGCTAACTTCAAATGAGGCAATGATTCACACATACTGTTTTCTATAAAACACCAGGGGAGAAATGAAAACTTTTAAAGGACCAAACACTTTACAAATACCTTTAAATATACCAATTATAACACCAGCAAGATAAACTAAACATATTATGGTTCCTAAGTAAAGTGAATGAAGACCCATAAATGACATGAAAAATTGATTTTGGAAATCATTAAATTTCTCTTTCCCTCTCTCAAATACAATTCTCTATGGTGTTAAAATACATAGAAATCTTATCTGTAATGAAAAAAACATCTGCTTTTAAAAGTATGTGGAAACCACTAGGATAATTAAAAAAATAACCCAACACTTCATCTCATTTTGCTTTATTTACTGGTTGATTTTTAGCATCCATTCTTTCCTTCTCCCCGCACGATTAGCTAGCAAAGGACTGTCCCAGGGTAACCTCACTCTACTTTGGCTACTCTGCATCACCCTTTATGCCTCGAGGGTGGTGTGCAATCCAGCATTATGGGGAGGGGACAGAAATGCTCAGGACACTGAGCCCAAAGTCCAGCTGTGCCCTAAGTAACAGGGTGACTGCTGGACAGTTAGTCAACCTCGCCAGGCTTCAGTTTTCTCATCTAAATTTACGAGGTCTACATAACCTCTAAGAGAGTGTATACATGTTATGTTCTAGAATGTAACAAAGCACACAGAACCACCTATGAAGTCGTCTTATTAAAAACAATTCATGTGAATAGAATCCAGGTTTAGCTCCAAGTTCCAGGAAATACAGAGGATAAAGGAAGAATCCCAATCCCGTGAGAAAACCATCAGATGAATCAAGAAAACTGAACACTGTTAACTGATCCAGGAGCCGAGAGCAGATATTGCTGGGAGAAATGTTCTGGATCAACAGAGACAGAGAAGATCCCAAATCAAACATATGGAATTTACTGATTCACATAAACTAAATAGGTCTCTCCCAAGACAACTGGAAAATTATGAACACAAAACAGATATTAGACATATTAAGAAATAACTGTGAACTGTATGAGGCATGATAATGACATAAGGAACTATCCCTATTTTTAAGAGATGCTTACTGAGCCACAGGGGCCAAATACCATGTTGCCTTTCATTGACTTTAACATATCCAGCAGAGACTCTATGAAGAGTACAGGATTGAATGGTAACTGTTAACTCTGCTGTGGGCACACAACTCATTGTCCTTTTTCTTTACCCTTCATCCCCCATATTTGGAAACATGACTAAATAAGAACATTTTAAAACTTTATATTTGGGAAAAACTTGCTGTTCAACTAGAATGGACCTCGGCAGCCAGTCTTATGGGCAAAGGAGCAACCCCACACCCCCATTTCACCTGTGTGTAGCACACACATGCCACGTAGCCAAGCTTGGCTCACTCTCACCTGTGTGCACATTTATCAAACATCTCTGGAAGGATACAGAAGGAACAGATAACAGTGGCAAATGGGGGCACTGTTAGAAGTGGAGGTCAATCTTTTCATTATATACTGTTGTACTGTTTGAAATTTCTTGCTATGTTCATGTATCATTTTTCTGAAGGGATGCTTAAAATAATTCGTCATCACTATAAAGTTTTTAGCAGGTTAAGAGGTGCTTTATATAAACAGTTTATCAACCATTAGTCAGCAATCAGCACTCCAGCAGTTTTTAGTGCAATGAAGGGTCATTTCACTACTGCTGACCGTTGAGTGATGCCGTACCTCTAGCAGGGCAGTTCCTGAGCAACTGTGCTGAGATTGAGTGCTGAAAGCAAACATGTCCAGTGAATTCCTATTGTGCTGGCGCTACCAGAGTTGCTGTTTGTAATTTGTGGAGTGATTAATTATTTGTATTTCTCAGAAATGTATTAGGTGGATTTTCATCAGCAGGAAAATATAACATCTTTAAAAATTCTGCATTTGGTCTTTCACTGAAGACAAATTTATTTTTGAAAAGGTATCTCCAGAGTAAAGTTAAATGACAAAATGAGGCTCAACATTTTACATACTTAGCTAATACCCGTAGCTAGAGCAAGCCAAAGGGCACATTCTAATAATATAACTTAGCAACTTTCTGATATGATATCTTCTCATCATGCTACAGAAGTTTTTAAAATCCTACACCAACAGATACACTTCTTCCATTTCTAAAATTTTAACATTTTAGGTTAGAAGCAAATTGTTTTACCTTAAGAGTTTCAAGTGTACCAGCTTCTTTGGCGAGGACACTGCCTGTGATTCCTAAAATGCTAACGACATTCACTCTGACCCCGATGTTGCTACTGTGAATGCCTGCCTTGCAGAACGACATCAGCTGATCAGGTGTCATGCACTGTTGGAAGAGCAGAGGAGCATTCCCAGGGTTAGACTCAACCAAATCCAGTAGCACGAGAAGCCAGGGCTGATGGGCATCTCTTCTATAGCTGTATGGTGCTGGGAGCGGTAGGAATGCCTGGCTGAGAAGTTATTATGTATTCTGATCATTCCCAAATACAGCTGGCAATTCTGAGCTAAGACGAGCCCGTTCATGTCACTGTCATTATCCAATCTACAAGAGGGGCTTCAGGTCCTATTAGTTTCATTGAAGACTTTCATTCCAGATGTACACAGACTGAGATCTTAATTCCCTTTTAATGTTGATCATAAAGGTTTTGACAGTATAACAGAATCATGTAGGTTTTAAAAAATAGGCTGAACCTATACAAGGTAAGAATTTTAATATGTTTTGTCATAAAGTATTAAAGACTGATATTACATAGTGCTTCCACCAAGTGGTGGTAATTTTCAGTTTAAGATAATTTTTTTTCAATACTGAGGAGTAAACCCAGAGGTACTCTACCACTGAGCTACATCTCCAGTCCTTTTCATTTATTTTTATATAGTTTTTTAGTTATAGAGGGACACGATATCTTTATTTTATTTATTTATTTTTATGTGGTGCTGAGGATCAAACCCAGCGCCTCACACAAGGTAGGAGAGGGCTCTACCACTAAACCACAACCCCAGCCCCAGTCCTTTATTTATTTATTTATTTTAAAAATTTTGATACAGGGTCTTGTAGATTGCCCAGGCTGGTCTTGAACTTGTGATCTTCCTGCCTCAGTCTCCTGAGTTGTTGAAATTACAGATATGCGCCATTGTGCCTAGGAGTTAAATCTAACATGAGCACACATTTAGGCACAAGGACCATGAAAGAGCGTGACTGTCGGGACATAGGCAATCTTTGGTGAGAAGCAGCACAGGGTGGTGATGAAGAGCCTGGATCTGGAGCCAGACACCCCAGGCTCCAATCCTAGCTTCACTCCCACTTGGCAGTCCATTTTCCCATCGGTAAAATGCGGGTGATAAAAGTCTTCATCACAGTTGTGACAGGGGTAAATGATGCATGTAAAACACTCACTAGTTATTATTTGTGAAATTTATAAATTCTAAACTCATACTCACTTCTCAATCATGGGCATTGCTTCTGCCTACTCTACGGGCAACAGACAATGGGCCAGGCTCTCAGAAAATACCATAAGTCAAAAGCGGCATCACTGTTCTTGTCAGGACTTTTGGTCCCAGCAGTGAGAAGGTGACCAAAACAACAACTAAGCTAGCACTATAGGTTCCTCATGGCTCGGACGAGGCTGCTGTGAATCATAAAGACAAGCTGCACCACTACAGGTGATTCATGAAGAAGCTGCGGAATGTGTACAAACCAACAAGGTAAAGAACAGGACAGGAAGCAGGAAGCAGGCAGCTGAATTTCAGAAGGGTTGCTGGCACTCAGCAAATAAGTTCTTGGTTTCTTCTCCCTGCGAAGCTTGGGAGAATCAGAGTTCTTCCGGTTTGAACACTTTATGCTCATGTGCGGTATACAACCATTACGGTTTAGATATGAGATGTCCCTCAAAAGCTCATATGTGAGACACTGCAAGAAAGTTTAGCAGTGAAAGGCCTGGGCTAGAGCATTTTAACCTCATCAGTGCATTAATCCCAATAGGTGGTGACTATAGGCACACAAGGTGTGGCAGGAGGAGGTGACTCACTGGAGGTTAGCCTTTGGGGTATATGTTTTGTCCTTGGGGAGGGGAGTTTCTCTCTCTGCTTCTTGATGTCATATTCTAAGCCACCTTCCTCCATCATATTCTTCTGCCATGATGTTCTGCCATACTTTGAGCCCAGAACAATGGAGCCAGCGGTCTATGGACTGAAACCATGCGTGTGCCAAATAAACTTTTCCTCCTCTATAACTGTTCTTGGCAGGACTTTTGGTCACAGCAATGAAAAGCTGACTACAACTAACCTAATAATTCAAGATCTTAATATGTATGAACGATTACCATTAACTGAGCATAAACTGAGTAATTTTTTTAAAATTATCAGACTGATGCAGAAAATGATATCTGTACAATATGGAAAAATCAATAAACACTTTGTATTCCTATAAGGTTATAAGGTTATCTGATCCCCACCAAAAGCCATATGTCGGACTATGTATTATCAGCATTTCCATTTCATAAAAAGTGAGGGCCCAAAATTATGTCCTTGAAAAAAATCCTCAAACATACAAAGAAACCTTTTTAAATAATAAATACAATACTAACATGAACTCAATAGCACCTGCTATATTTAATAGTAAAACATCATTCCCATTAAACTCTGATAAGGTTTGGGAAGCACTGCTCTAAAGGGTGGCTTTGGAGGGATCAAAGTCAAGGTCACTGGAGAAAAGGAGGCCCCAGAGCTGCACTACTAGGAGACCTTATCTCAAAATCTTGAAAAAGTAAAGTCTGCCAGTGTAACTCAGTGGTAGAACGCCCCGGGATTTAATCACCAGTACTGTATTAAAAAAAAAAGAGTGAGATTCTGATATATGCTAGCTGTATCAAGGAGAAACCGCACCCAGACTACCTGATCACAGACAAGAAAGGGGAGCAGTGGTTACCAGAGAGCAGGGCAGACAGGAGTCAGTGTGTAATGGGTTCAGTTTCAGTTTGGCAAAGTGAAAAACGTGTAAAGACAGTGGTGATGGGTACGCAGTAGTGCACACTTGGCACCACTGAAGTGTACATTTAAAAATGGATGAAACAGCAAATTTGATGTTTCAACACAAAAAAAGAGAAGATATTTAAAGCTGGGGCATAGCTCAGTGGTAAAGCACGTGCCTAGTATAGTCTACCTTTTTAGACTTTATCATTCTGTTTTTTATTTCGAGGTTTTTTTAAAAAAAAATTTTTTTTAATTAAATCCAGGGGTGTTAAAAAAGAAAAAACAAAGCTAACAAAAAAGTAATTCCTTTTTGCTGGGCAAAGTGGTGCATGCCTATAATTTCAGCTACTTGGGCCTAAAACAGGAGGATTGCAAATTCAAGGCCAACCTGGGCAACCCAAGTGAGACCGTGTCTCAAAGCAAAAAATTAAAAGGGCTGGGGACGTAGCTCAGTGATAGAGCATGCCTAGTTTAATCCTCCCTCTCTCTCTCTCTCTCTCTCTCTCTCTCACACACACACACACACACACACACACACAAGCACACATAAAAGTAATATTCCCCCCTTATTTATGAAAGTGAAAACTACAGCTAACTTTATTATAAGCACACACAGAATTCTTTCAAGCAACTTTAAAACACAGTACTCTAGGGTGGGGAGGTAGAGCACTTTCCTAGCATGAACAAGGCCTTGGGTTCCATTCCTAGCACCACCAACACACACACACACAGAGCAAAACACCATACCCTTCTTCTTTAACCTGGAAATACCAGTGTGAACTTTATTTTGCTATTCCCTGGCTATTTCAACAAAAAAAGGCTTAAAAGTGATGACAACATGGTGGCCATAAACCCCCAAAATTCAGTTTTCCACTAAAGAAATCAGGGCTTTTAGAAAAATATTTTCACGTTTTAAGCAGGAAAATTACAAGTTGAGTCTGAGACATTTTCTTTAACTTGAAAAGGAAAAAATGATCAAAAATCTAGGGTTTGAATGTAGAGTCCATGTCAAAGAGACACAGAAACCAATCTGAAGGGATTCCTATTATGTAAATATTGGTTTTTGCATGAAAGAAAAATATGAATCCATATTTTAAAAACCCTAAGATCACAATCTTCAATCACCAGTACCACAAAAGGAAAAGGAAAAAAAAAAAAAAAACCAAAGCCAACGATATTCAGAAAATATTTTCAACATATATATCCAACAAGAACTTAAATCAATAAAAAAAAAGCACCTGTGTGTATTGCTTCACATTCTATTTTAAGCATTTCTGTTTTCTTTTTACTAAGATTGTACATTACTCTTGTAATAGAAATAAGGGTTTTAAAAAATTAGTTAATTTCACCTTCATAATACAGAATCTTCTTAAGTTTCACATAAAAAAGCTTAAAACTCTTACCTGAGAAATGTTTTTGGAGGCCATTGTTTGTAAAAGGGCCCGCAAGGCACCACTTATGGCTTCCAGAAAGTCATCGTGTTTAGCAAAATCTAAAACACAAACAAAACATGAAGATAAAATGTAAGTCTTCTCTTTCTCCAGGACAAGCTATTTTGTAGAAAAAGAAACAGGATCAAAACAGAACATGTTAAGTATTCATCAACTATGATTAATAAAAATAATCTAGGTATTTAAGCCCAGAAGTACAGTGTGCACCAATTCTGACAATGAAACATATAAATGACAAGCTAGGGCATGGCGGAACTGTCACAGCAAGGGTGTGTCCCACAGACGGTCCTCGACTTGTGGGCTCTGGGTTTCATGTGATCCACGCTCTGGCACATGATGAGCCTGAGCCAGTGCCGTGAACCGAGTCCAGCCTTTTGCAGAGCCCCGTCATGGCGCTGGGCACACCTGTGGTACAGTCACCTCCTTGTCCACCGAGCCCACAGCAGAGGGAAGAACTGCTGCTTGCGCAGAGACCCACCTTCTCCTTCACATTCCTGCTCCTCATCACCACTTCTTTCTAGCTGTCCCTTCTGGCCATGCAGGATAGACCCAAGAGCAGCCATAAACAACTGTGCCAACACAGCCACATACAGGCCAGGGAGGGTCGCACAGCAAGCTGGCTCCCTGTCCCCTTTTATAGGAAAGGAAAGCAATTCCCTTGGTGCTGTAGACTGTACTTTCCAAAATGGCCTCAGCAGTATTCCCAGTTCTGCGTGATCTCCTGGAGCCCTGCCACTTCCAATAAAGATGTGGAGTCTGTTACTCCCCTCTTTGAGTCTGGGTAGGACTCTCTGACTTCTCAAAAACAAAACATACAAATGACAGGATGGGGCATAAAAAGTGAATGACTCGTGTGTGTCCGATGGAAGTCATTTGCTTTTATGACCTTCTTCTCCCTTAACTCTAGCCCTTGGAGCTGGGCCACCATGTTGTGAGGAAGCCTGGTCACATGAAGGGGTCATCTGTGGGTGTTCTGCCTCCCAGTTCTAGCACCAAATTTCAGATGAGTAAAAAACTTCCAATGATGCGGCCCCGAACCCTCAAGGTTTCCAGCAGAGGCCCTAGATTAGTATTCCTCCATCTCAGCACTATGGATACTTGGGACAGGATCACTAATGCTCTGTCATGTAGGCACAAGGTGTCCTGTGCACTGTAGGAAGTTTATCGCATCCCTGGACTAAATAATTTAGATTCCACTAGCAACTTCCAAGTTGTAACAATCGAAAATACCTCCAGACACTGCCAAATGTCCCCTGCAGGTGGTGGTGCAAAATTGTCTCTGTCGAGATTCACTGCCTTAGACACCAATGGAGACAAACAATGTCCATGGTACCCTAAGTGGGCGACCCAGAGGAACAGTGAAATAACAAATTGGTTGTTTGATTTTTGAGTCAGGATCTCACTATGTTGCCCATGCTGGTCTTGAACTCCTGAGCTATCATGCCCAGCTTGATTATTGTTGTTTTAAGCCATAACATTTTGGGGTAGTCTGTCATATAGCAATAGAAATCTTGTGGTGCCTGGGACCCTGTCCCAGTTCTGACCCCCTTTTAGGTTGCCTGGGTGAGAGATAAAGAGGTGACTTCCCACAATTTTTTTTTCCCCCAGGGGCACTAGGGATTGAACCAAGGGGCACTTTGCCACTGAACTATATCCCTAGCCTATTTTATTTTGAGACAGGGTTTTGCTAAGTTGCTTAGGGTCTTACTAAGTTGCTGAGGCTGTCCTCAAATTTCAATCCTCTTCCTCAGCCTCCTGAGTCAAGAGGATTATAGGTGCACACCACCATGCTTGGCTCCTTCCCACAAACTTTAAAGCTTATTAAATTTTTTGGTCCTTTATATTATGCACCGAAGTAGGGGATTTCCTGTAATTATCACAGGCCATAGAACAGGATAGATTTAGGATCAGATAGGCCGGGGATGAAGTCCTGCCTGACATGTGACCCTTGCCACTTCACTTTGGTCTCAGGTCACATGTTACCTCCTCAGAGAGGACTTTTGCACTTGCTTAGCCCAGCACTTCATACCACTCTGCTGTTAATTTTTTCTTTATAGCTGAAATTACATTAAACATTATGTCAGAATGCAAGCTCCACAAACAAGTGCCCCTGCCTAACTCTTCAGACCACTATTCCTAGGACCTAGATAGTGTACGGCATAAAGTAAGTGCTCAATGAACATATGCCAAACCATGAATGATCTGAAGAGGCCCCATAACCTTTCTAAATCTCAGCTTCCTCTCCAGGAAAAGGGGACAATAAAGCATATCTCCTAACATTTGGCACCTATAATAGGCTCTTGAAAATTCATGTGAGGTTGTTACTATTTAACTTTAAGAAGTTACCATATTGGCTCTTGTTTAATGCTCCAAGAGTAGCCCTAGAAATTCACAAACTCCACATAAAACAATTAAGCTACAGTTGTGTCATGATAAACTTACTCAGTTAAAAAAAAAAAAAAAAAAAAAACAAATCTCAGATTCAATCTTTTCTCATTCTTTCTCAGGAAAATAACATTATCTTAGATATAGAATGATAATCTGAACTAAACACCATTTTACATTATGTATAATTTGCACTTTACGGAAAATGCTTGGGCGATTTTTATTTAATTCATATTTTTGGCCAAATATCCAGATTTGGGGAAGGCACTTTAAACCTCCTTGGTTTTCAGCTAAATTTTCAGTAAAAGGTCAACAGATATGGTGTTGTCAGGGAAATTAGGTAAACAACAAAAGTTAGACAAGAGGTTAATTCAAAATGTCCTTCCCCTCAAGAATGCTACGCAATATCTAAGAATGTGTAGCAGGTCTAAATGTAGGTAAATAATCAGCCTAGGAGTAATCAAGAAGCAAATTGTATTTGTGAGTTTCTCAGACTTACTTTCAGCATTCTGAAAAGGCATCCCAGATGGGATACCTCCATTCTAACCAAAAAAATAACTTTCTAATTACCAGAATCTGGGAAAACAGAAAACCCTAAATGATTTTAGAACTCATGTAATGGAGCAAAACTGACCAACTGACCCAATGCAAAGACACAACATAGCTAAGGATCTGATGTTTTGAAAATCAACAGCTTTTAATGAAGGAGACAAAGATACTACAAAAACACTTTTTATCCTTGATGTCAGCCACAAATATAATGTAGGTATGTACACAGAATCACAAATTTTGTAGCTATTCAGGTCTGTATTCTGTATTTTAGTATCAAAAATAAAACAAGCCAGGGCTGGGGCTCTAGTGCTCAGTGGAAGAGCACTTGCTGAGCATGCAAAAGGCCCGGGTTTGATCCCCAGCACTGCAAAAACCAAAAACAAAACCAAAAGTTAAAACAAATTAGATAGAGGAGCTGGGGTTGTGGATCAGTGGTAGAGCACTTGCCTAGCAAGTGTGAGGCACTGGGTTCGATTCTCAGCAGCACATATAAGTACATAAATAAAAAATATAGGTCCATCAACAACTAAAAAAAACATTTTAAAAAAAGAAGGGCTGGGATTGTAGCTCAGTGGTAGAGCACTTGCCTAGCATGTGTGGGGCACTGGGTTCCAGGCTTAGTACTACATAATAAATAAGTAAATAAAGTTACTGTGCCCATCTTCAACTGGTGGGGGGGGGGGATAAGTTAGATAGAGTTATATGAACCTCATACCTTTAACTCTAAGTAGAGAAATTTAACCTGTCCTCGCCACCAAAACTTTTCCAATAACGGTTCATAGCATCTATATAGAATCTCTAGGATTACATTATTTAATAAATCCCAAAGGTTTAGAAGGACTACATTAGAATATCTTGTCTCAATACTGTGTGATTGTTTTTTAAATCAGATTTTATTCTAAGAAAATTTACTGCTATTCCAAAACAAATAACAACTATTATTATTTATTTGTTTTTGGTTCCAAGGATTGAACCCAGGGCCACTTACTCAATGAGCCACAACCCCAGCCCTTTGAGGTCTCACTGAGTTGCTTAGCCCCTCACTAAGTTGCTGAGGCTGGCTTTGAATTTGCGATCCTCCTGCCTCAGCCTCTGAGCTGCTGGGATCACAGGTGTGTACCACTGCACCCAGCTCTATTATTATTTCTGAACCACTTGTTAATTCCATTTCTCTGAATACCAATGTTAAGGGATACAAAAGCCACAGATAGGATACAAGGATAGACTCCGAGCAATGGGGGCAGTCCAGAGACATTTTAATGGCAATGTTTCCCCAGCAACAACCTTCCCCATTTGCAATCCAAACCCTTTCATACATGGGAGATCAATTAAAATTACAAATCACTGGGAATAATGGAGCCCACATCATTAGATAGGGAGCTTTTCAAAACTACTGATGTGACAGTGACCTGCAGTAGGTGATTTCTATAAAAATAACATTATAGCTCTCAGGAAATATTAATATGTTCTTAACCTAGCAGCACGTCATATTTCTGAACTTTTTTTAAAGATTATTATTATTTTTTTAAAGATGGAGCTGGGGATATAGCTCAGTTGGTAGAGTTCTTGCCTCACATGCACAAGGCCCTAGGTTCAATCCCCAGCACCACAAAAAAACAAAAACGAAAAGTCATGAAACTGGAATTAATTTAAGATCAAAGTGCTTAATTATATTTCCCCACAATTCAAAACACTCCCTTCTTCTCCAGGACTCAGCTTGGTGTGGTTTTCCTATGGTCTGTGCATTGATGAATGTGCAGCTCAATGAGTGCACGCAGCCAGACAAGCAGGACAAACACATCTAAGTGTTCCTGTCCAGCTGAGGCAGGTGTGTTTACTTCACTTGAAACAAACTCCTCCTGCTGCTGGGAATGGGACTGTGGCACTTTGATTGGACTGAGAAATGGCTTGGAGGCAAGAGACGGGCAGCTTGTAGATCTAGGGTTGGGCAGGGCTTGGAAGCAGTCAAAGTCTGGGGTATGGCCTGTTCACCAGAGGCCCTGGCTGTGGACTTCCCTGTTCAGTCCTGCCCTCTGCCTCAGACCATAAGAATGGGTGGATGGTTGTGGGCACCAGCAATATGGGCTCCTCCTTCCCACCCCACGGGACATCTTGCTGGACTGATGGGAGGCAGAATGCCAGCAAAGGTCAGTGAAAGCATCCTCTACCACATGCAAGGTCTCTATGAAGGTTGGGAGAGAAATACGAAGCGACAGTCACTGCTCAGGCTGACAAGCCTCTCAATATGCCACTGCTCAGTGGGACTGTGTGAGCTCCTTCAGCTGAACGAGATCGAGTTAAAATGGGATTCTACTATAATAGACTATGAAAATCTGTTAAAGAACATGTATCAAACCCTGTACAAACAGCCAGGCGTGACGGAGAACACTTGTAATCCCAGTGACTAGGGAGGCTGAGGCAGGAGGATCACACATTCAAAGTCAGCTACTTAGCGGTGCCCTAAGCAACTTAGTGAGACACTCTATTGAAATAAAAGATAAAAAGGGATGGGGATGTGGCTTGGTGGGTAAGCATCTATGGGTTCAATCCCTGGTGCTAAAAAACAATAAGGGAGTCTTACAGAATCTGTACTGGTCCTAAGGGCTACCCAATTTATTACTGGACCAGTTAAATCCTGTTAAATTAAAATATATATATCTGGGATTTTCCTCAATGGTAGAGTACTTTCCCAGCATATACAAGGAACTGGGTTAAATTTCTGGTACCACACACACACAAAAAAAGTTTAACCATGGTATGTTACCGTATCTAGGTTTCTGAGTACAAATGAAATTAATCCATTATCAGAGACCTGTAAATTAAAAGATTCAATTCCTACACTGCAAAAATGTTTGGAGAGAGATACAGGTTTGATAAAAGCTAGGTGTAGAATTATGTGTGATTTTTATACCATTTCCCACCTTTTTCCTTTCCCCAAGTGTCCCAGAGAATCTTTCTGAAACCAAATATAAGAAAATGGTGACTTGATTCTGGGAGAGAAACCGGCTGGGACAAAGGAGTAAGTAACATAGTCCACTTTACATCCTCTAATAATTTTTGAATTTTGTTCCACATACAATGTATGTATTACCCAGTCAAATTTAAATTCCTATAATTAAAAAAAATACAGAATTGCCAAAATATCTTAATGAGAATCTGATATTATTTATGATTTCAGCCTTAATTGTCCTGACATAATTGGAAATAATTATAACTCTAATAAAGAAGAAAAACACCCCCTCCATCCCTACACCTGGTTTGACTCTCACCACCGGTGACTATAAACACATGCCTGCTAGTGACTGGAAGGTTTCTGCAGGATTGATGATAAACAACACACAATCACAAAGTCCACGGTCTGCCCCTTAAAAACTCTGCTCTGTCCCAGTAGTCTTTCTGATCAATTCCTAAATATTTACCTGGCTGAGAAAAAAGAAGTTGTGACAGGTGCTGTGCGAGTGTTTGGAGGGCTGGAACTCCTCCCAGATGGTCCACATCCAGGAGTGACACCAGACTCTGAAGACACACGAGGGCTCTACACTGAATAGTGTTCATTCTGCAAAGGAAGAGAAATGATGCCGCCTCTTTAAAATTTATCCAGCAGAACTCAGTGTTAACTTTTAAGCTTCAAGGTCTGACTGGGAATATCTGTAAGTACAAGGGGGTCTGTGGGCAGGTCACAAAGAACTGTAAAGTGGGCTGTTAATCTGCCAATCAAATGTTCATGCAGAGAAGGGTTCTGATGTACACCGTTTCCTGAACCATAAGGAACTTCTGGGTCTTGGGAGGAGTTAGCAATTTTTATTTAATGTTCTAACACTTCACATAATGACCAGCTTTTTGTAAAAATATATTTTTAATTGTAGATGGACACAATGTATTTATTTATTTTTGTGGTGCTGAGGATTGAACCCAGGGCCTCATGCACGCTAGGCGAGCGCTCTACCACTGAGCCACAGCCCCAGCCCTGACCAACTTTTTTTTTTAATATGTATTTTTTAGTTGTAGTTGGACCCAATACCTTTATTTTATTTATTCATTTTTATGTGGTGCTGAGGATCAAACCCAGGGCTTGCAAATGCTAGGCGAGCGCTCTACCACTGAGCCACAACCCCATCCCATGACCAGCGTTTTTGAAAATAGAAAAGTTCTTTAAAAAAAATTAAAAATAAAGTTCTTACTTTCTAATCAAAGGTTTCCACGTAGGATTCCTTGAACATATGTCAAGTGCAACATTGTTTGGGGAGGCAGTTTTCTCAAAAACCTAGGTTTTAAAAAGGCAGTAGGGCAAAGGTCAGAGATCGTCATCTTACACACGATTTCTTTACGAAACTTCTACACATTACTTCCAAGTAAAATGTTGAGGATGATCAAGAAAGAATGATCTTTTGGCCCATTTCCAGGCCTGCTGGTTCTGTTCAAGCTGGAAGTGTGGGCTCACTGCTTGTGCACACAGGAGGCACAGCTCTCTGAAACCTTCCCCACACTCTGTCAGAGCCCAGAACGAAGGAGGCTCACCTTCTGTGGGATGAAGCAGTTGGTGAGAGCGGAGTGAGTCTCATGGGAGAGGCAGAGTGGGGACAGCAGCTGTCCCCCACACTCACTGAAGGGGTTTTCCATGCACGCATCGCTCTCGTCACTGCTGGACAGCTCTTCCCACTCGTCGTCAGAGGGATCTGGGAAGAGGGCAGACCACCTGCAGCTGGATGCTAAAGGAAATCCCTTGGAAGCCGCCCCGCCTGGGGGAAAGGTCTACATGTCAACTGGGAGCAAACCTTCACTGAAGCACATGTTGACGACAATTTCCAGAGCCGTCTGCTGAGCTGTCAGCACTGCTATGGTTTCTCTCAGTTCCTTGTCAGTGGGCTTAAAAAAAAAAAGGAGAGGGGGGATGACAGATTATTTTTGCATGAATTTTCTTAGCGAAAGCCTACTAGAAGATTTTTGCACTTGGAAGGGAGCATATGGGGGTGGGGTAGGTAGAAGAAAAGCTATGAAGGACTGAAGTTCCAACAAGCATTCTCACTCCCTTGGCACGGTCAAGCAGGCCACTGTTAACTGGGATTCCATCTATCTGCATGGTTATTCTCTAAAGCGTTGCTTAGTGAGCTGGAGAGAACAGATAGGTATTCAGGAATTTTGAACTAAATTCACCCTGAAACTTAATCTAATGTGTTAAGAAGTCAAAAATACTAAGATTAAAACAAAAGTTCATTTAAGACACCAGGCACTTAAACACAGCAAACCTGCTTTAGGACACTGACTTCCTCTTGGAAAGACTGCATTAATAACACTGCTAAAAGCCTTATATGACCAACAGAGCTTCGCCAAGGAGCAAACAGCTTGCTTCCTGGCTGTTTTTGAAGATGAAAATAAATATCCCTTTAAGATTAAAAAAAGAGGAAGACATTTTTCTCTGAAAATATAGAGCATCAATTTAACTTCACCAATTAACATTTCTTAAAATGGGTATTTAAATTTATATACTTAAATTTACACGACCTAAATTCTTAAATAACCAATGGAAAAGTGAAATAGACACAATGATATTCCAAAAGACTGTATCCACTAAACACAATGTATACTTTATTGTCAAAATGTTTCTAAATTTCTGCAGTGTTCTAATCATCTTCATGGCTGTGTAACCTTCCATTAAACAGATACACTGTGACTTACTAAACATTCGCTCCACTAGCATGAAATATTTCAGATTACAATAACCCTTCAGATTCTCAGTTCTACCTCTGTAGATTTAGCCAAATCAACCTACCTACTTACCTGCCTTCCTTCCTTCCTTTCTTTTTGGATAGATTCTCACTAGGTTGCCAAGGCCAGTCTCAAATTCCTGGGTTCAATTGATCCTCCTGCCTCAGCCTCCTATGTAGCTGGGACTACAGGCATATGTCACTGTGACTGCCTAACCAACTTTGGATCAAAAAGCTGGGGCTGGGGCTCAGTGGTAGCGCACTTGCCTGGTGTGAGTGAGGCACTGGGTTTGAGTCTCAGTACCACATGTAAATAAATAAAATAATGGTCTATCAACAACTAAAAAAAATTATTAAAAAAATTTTGGGGGAAAAAAACTGTACTATACTGAACATGTACAGACTTTTTCCTTGTCATTATCCCCTAAACAATAGAACAACAATATTTACATTGTACTGAGTGGTACAAATAATCTAGGGATTATTGAAAGCACACATAAGGACATGCGTAGGCTGTATGCAACAATGATGCCATTTTATATACAGGTCTCCAGCATTTGAGGATTTTGAAATCCAAGCAGGGTCCTGAAACCAACCGATCCCCTGTGGATACGGATGGCCAAATGGACTGGGATATCTTAATTCCTCAGACAGACATACTGGATCCAAGGGAAAAAGCACATTGATAAGTCCTAGACACCATCCCATTTTCCTTTCCAAGATGTTCCCATTCATTTAAAAACTTCACTAACAACTTCTTTGCCCAAGAATTTAACTGCAACTTTAAACTACGTCCTTTTAAAGAAGAGGAGGGGTTCAGTCAGGGTGGCACACAACTGTAATTCCAGTTACTCAGGAGGCTGAGGCAGGAGGATCCCAAGTTTGAGGACAGCCTAGGCAACTTAGTGAGAAGTGAGAACTTGAATCAAAATAAAATTTTAAAAAGGGTCTGGGGATGTAGCTCAGTAATATGAGTGTTTTTCTAGCACTGACAAGGCCCTGAGTTCAATCCCTAGCACCACATGCACACACATTCACACACAAACACACACATATGCACACAAAAAACAGCAATTTTCTAATTTTATAGATGTAACTCATGGATTCCTACATCTGTGTTCCATTTATCTCTACTAACAATGTATATAAAATTGTTCAACTAAACAAACCTTTGTCAGAGTAGATTCAAGCTAAAAGAGACTTGTTGCTCTCTTCTCATGTATGTAGAATGCCTGAAGATGAGGATCAGAAGGAAATTAGGTTCTACTTTATGTAACTGCTGCTCAGAACATTTCTCTGCTTATTGTTATCAAGCTGACAAAAAGAATCAATCTAGATGAAATGTTATGACATCTGAGATTTGCTTTCAAGTAACCACAGAGAAAGGGGAGAGTGAGTGGGAAACAGATGAAATCAAACAGATACGACAGGATCAATGGTAACCGTGGGGGCGGGGGAGGGGGTACTCTACTTTGGCATGTGTTTAAAAAAAAACACATTAAACAGCTTTCTTTATATATTTGTGGCTATGCTATTAAATGATGTGATTAAATGATGTGATTAAGGGTTTTGATTCTAAAAGACTCCAGCAGAAACCACTAGGCAGCGTAAAAGACCACAGCTGACTCCACATCTGTATTCCTGGCACGCGTGAGCATGGTGCTAGCACCCCACTGGCACTTGATGCTGGCTCGCTAAACCGCCAGCATGTTAATCAGCCAGGCCACTCAGGTAGGTCAAGACTTCAAAAGGCAAGTTTTGCTGTAAGTAAACACTGCACTTTATGAGCACATTTGTGTGTGTGTGTGTGTGTGTGAACCCAGGACCTCAAACATGGTAAGCATGTTCTCCACCACCGAGCCCCTCTATTTAAAAAAAAAAAAAACTCATATAAAAATAAATGCTCTACGTAACAATATTTACTCCCTTAAGGAGTCCCCGGGAGCCAGGCTGGAGACGGGCAGCAGCACACTGGAATGCCCTCTTCCTACCCATGCCAGGGGCCTTCACCAGGCTGCTGCTCTCTTTGCCTTCCAATAAAGCGCAGGCACTCTGTCCCCAAAGCCTTCTTAGCCAGGCCCCTCCTCTGCTCCAGGCAGGGATGAGTCGCATGTCTCTACAGAAACCACTCCCTCAGAAATCTAGGCCCGGCCCTGTCACTGTTCTCAGCACAGGCCTCACAACCACAGCCGTGTGGCTCTGTCTTCCTGAGTCGGAGGAGCGGTCCCTGAAGACAGGAACCATGTCTTAATCATCCATCCTCACCATCAGGAGCACAGTCAATGAGCACCTGAACGGTGCATGAATAAAGCCTGATCCTCTGTCCTCCAGCCCATTTTCTTTCCTCCTCCAGATAAATGTTCTCCCAAAGTCTGCTGAAGGTTTGTCTTGGCTGAAATGATTCCTGAACCTGACTCACCCTCACCCCCACATCATGCCCACCAGCAGAGGCACACCACAGTCGTCCAACCTTTGCTCGTCAGCAGTGGGTAGAGGTTTGGCCTGTCATTCTACTAAGGCTAAACACTTTTAAATAAGAGAGACCAGAAAACAAGGGACAATCTGGCAAAGAACAAATTCCTTTAGTTTGAAGACAATCTGGGAGATAATGTGGAACCAAAGAGAGAGGCACAAGATTTAGGAAGACAACTTTTTTTTTTTCTTTTGGTACTGGGGATTGAACCCAGGAATGTTTGAACACTGAGCCACAGCCCCAGACCCTTTTTACTTTGAGAGAGGGTCTTGCCAAGTTGCTTTGGGCCTCACTAAGGTGCTGCAGCTAGCCTCAAGCTTGCAATTCCCCTGCCTCTGCCTCCCAAGTAACTAGGATCGTAGGAGTGCCCCACAGTGCCCTGCGATAACTGGGTTATTTCTGAAGCATTCCAAAAGAATTGGACTGTCTCATCTGAGATTCTCTCCTGCATGCAAATTTCATTTAGGCAAAAGTTTTTTGTTTTTTTTTTTCTCTCTCTTTGGGAGAGACTTCTGATGTTCTAATGAGAATCAACGGGAAAATATGACTAACTTTTACTGAAGTTCACTTTCTATAGTTCACTTTGCTACAGTACTTTTCTATAAAGCTAAGGATTAACCTGTTGAAAGAAAACTGCTGTATTAGTCCATGTTTTAGAGCATCAGTCTGACTTACTGGAAGTAAATCGGAAACAAAATTTTTCCTTCTGACTTTTCTTTTGTGAGGAATTTCTTCCATTTCAACGTCTTCAATCAAATCATCACCATTAACATTCTTTAACATTTCCTCAGTCTCTGCCGCAGTCTTTAATCTCTGAGTTTCAGCCTCTTTCATCTGAATAACTATTTCGCCAGCATCCATTTCCAAGACTTCGGATAAGATCTTTAGTATGGCATTTATGATCTCTGCCTGACTCTTAGACGGAATGACGTCCTTCAGATTCCAGATTGTGCCTGTGAAAAAAGGAGCACAAGGACACGGCCTCGCCTGAAGTCTTATGGGGACTCCAGTTTCCACAGACTGGTTCTCTAGGCTCAGGCGTCATCTTGAAATGTCTGGACCCCAGTCCCTTTGTTCAGCTTTTACTAACTGTCAAAAGGTACCGCACAGAGGCAGCAGGCACTCTTTGTTAGGACCCTTGACCTTCATTTCCTGCCTGGGCACACAGGCCTTTCTCTAATTCAGACCTATCAGCAGACCCAGAGAAGGCCTACCAGGTTTCTGGTGAAATGAAAACCCGAGTCGCCTTGTTTTCTTTCATCTTAATCCATTTTTGCTCTCCTGAGCAGCTTTTTATATTCCAAGAGTGGAACGGAATGCACTAAAACTCCAAGATCTCACAAACAAACTAGAAAGCAGGTTCCTGGTATTTTGCTTATCAAAACAGAACAGGAGCTGCCATTAAGTAGTCAGATGAATGTTTTTGAAAAATGACTGCAATAGAACACTGAGGCCAGCCTTAGTAACTTAGCAAGACCCTGTCTTAATTTTTTTTTTTCTTTTCGGTGCTACTGGGGATTGAATCCAGGTGCTTTACCACTGAGCCACATCCCTAATCCTTTATATTTTTTGAGACATGGTCTCCCTAAATTGCTGAGGCTGGCCTTTAACTTGTTATCTTCCTGCCTCGGACTCCTCAGTTGCTGGGATTATATGCGTTTGACACCATGCCTGGGTGAGATGGTAAATGTTATATTATGTACATTTTACCGCAGTTCAAAAAAAAAAAAAAAACACACACACACATACACATACAGCTGGATGTGGTGGTGCACTCCTGCTGAGGCAAGACAACAGCAAGTTTGAGGCCAGCCTGGGTACCGTAGCAAGACCCTGTCTCAAAATAAAAAATAAAAAGGGTATGGGATGTAGTTAATTCCCAGAACTGGGAGAAAAAAATGTAAAACCCCGCAAAAAACCTCTTAGATAAAATGACCTCTGCAAAACCAAAGGGAGGGCAAAAGGAAACACAAACAGATGTTGTATGCAATACATTAACTCAAAAGAGCCTCGGAGCGGTTCTTACTGCTGTATTCAGAGATACTGGGATGAAAAGGGGAGCAGGAAGAACTCATGAAAAAGTAAGTGGCTGTGTCTTGGATACCTGGAATCAATCTCTCTCTCTCTCTTTTTTATATTTATTTTTTAGTTTTAGGTGGACACAATATCTTTATTTTTTTATTTTTATGTGGTGCCGAGGATCGAATCCAGTGCCCCGCGCATGCCAGGTGAGTGCGCTACCACTTGAGCCACATCTCCAGCCCCTGGAGTCAATCTCTTAATGCATTGGTGCATAATTAAGAGGAGGTGCTGATAGAACATGTCTTTATCAGACAACAGCAGTTTGTCACAATCAAAACAAATCTCTTCTAATAGACTTCATAACTATGGGCAACTACGTGAATTAAGGGTCTTCAATAAATATACAATTTCAGGACAGACGTAAGCACAGAAAATCCTAATGTGGTGAAATGAAAGAAAGACTGAACTTTGGGTCCCACTTCTATTAAAAGTTACCAAAAAAACCCACACTGTCTCATTTGGCTAAATGTTACCTGCTACCAATGTCTTTAATAGAATGTATTCCATGGAACTGACAGGACAGAGCATTGCCGATTCCAGCACCTGCAACGCTGTAGCACTGAAAGATTTCAGGAGCTCTGGGTTATCTTCAGTCACTGTCTGCAAACAGTGTGCTAGAAGACGAAAATGTGATACTTAGAAACAAGTGAATTATGACTCGGATAATTTAAACCAGTACAACTCATCAAAAGTGTGCATCTTTAAAGCTTCTGTAGATATATGTAGCTTTGTAGGATACATACATTTTACCTCAAGAATGGGAAATGCAAATGAAGCCTTCCAAACTCTCCCTGCAGTACACGATCTTTTTTTCCCTAATTCTTTATAGATGTATACTTTAATTAAATAAAATTTAAAAGGCTCTAATGTGGCAAATTTCTGATAATTATAAATGTTTCCAATGGTTTAACCTCAATTTATATACTTATCTTGGATCAGTAGTGCACAGCTTATGGACCAAATGCCAGTCTATGGATCAAACTCTTGCAGCTCTGTTTTTGAAACAAACCCTAAATTTTGGGAAACTCTGGCTTCCTTTCAATTCATCATGATCTTAAAAGCTAGGATGCTTTCTAGTGAAATGATAGTTCTTTGAGGAAAAAAGATCATTTTTCATAAAAATATGAGCAAATTGAGAGATGGGTAAAACATTAATTGCTGTGTATTTCATTTAGCACTTCTTCTCTTACATTAAAACAAGACAATGGATTACAACTTGCATTACAAAACATTATGCTACCATAATACAAGTTCAAAAGAAGCTATATTAATATACAGGATAGGATCTTATAAATTTACTTTATCACATCTAAGCCTTGTTTAGCTTTTAAAACAAAACTAAAGACATTTTTAAAAAATAATCATGACTTTAGTTAAATACAAAAAGAAAACAGTCTAATAAAATACAAAGTAACTTTACTCCAACACATTCAAAAAAGCCCACTAGAGGAAAAAGAATAAACAAACAAAATAAACAAACAAAAATTCTACAAGAGTAAAAGTACAAAGATAGTTTTTCTTTTAAAACTTAAAAATTCATTTTCCTAAAATTCTCTTATAATAAAAACCATCCTAAGATGAAATTATCTACAGATTTCCTAAACAGTTTAACTGTTTTTTGAAATCCTCATTTTACTTATAAAACTACCCCAAAGGGCTGAGGATATAGCTCAGTTGGTAGAGTGCTTGCATGTAAAAGGCCTGGGTCTCAGCACCACAAAATAAATAAATAAATAATAAACAAACAAACAAAAAATTACTCCTACCAGATTCCATTTTGAAAAGTTCATTTTTAAATTTTTTCCAAAAGTATTTATACTCTTTCCCCCTTTTTCTCTTCTCTTAGAGCCAGGCATGATGGTGCATGCCTGTAATCCCAGTGATTTAGGAGGCTGAGAAAGGAGGATTGCAAGTTCAAGGCTAGCCTCCACAACTTAGCAAAGCCCTAAGCAACTTAGTGAGACCCTGTCTTAAAAACTAAAAAAGGGGGCTGGGGATGTGGCTCAAGCAGTAACGTGCTCGCCTGGCATGCGTGGGGCACTGGGTTCGATCCTCAGCACCACATAAAAATAAAGATGTTGTGTCCACTGAAAACTGAAAAATAAATATAAAAAAAACCCCAAAAAACTAAAAAAGGCCAGGTGCGGTGGAGCACGCCTATTGTAATCCCAGCAACCCAGGAGGCTGAGACAGGAGGATTGCGGGTTCAAAGCCAGTCTCAGCAATAGCGAGGCCCTAAGCAACTCAGTGAGACCCTGTCTCTAAATAAAATAAAAAATAGGGCTGGACATGTGGCTCAGTGGTTGAGTGCCCCTGAGTGTAATCACCAGTTTAAAAAAAAAAAAAAACTAAACTAAAAAAGGGCTGGGAATGTAACTTGGTGGTAAAGCACCTCTGGGTTCAATTTCCAGTGTGTGTGCGCGCGCGCGTGTGTGCGTATGTATATGTATGTGTGTGTGCGTGCGTGTGTATTATCCATTAGAGCCAAGAGAAGCAGAGAGCTTTTCTCCTTGCCAGGAGAAAGGCAGAGTTAAATAAAAGGACAGCTGGATACCTGCAAAGCTCTTCATCAGCTCTCACCCAGAATGCTGTAGAACTGCCCACCCTGCTGAGCCAAGGGTCCCTCATGGCTCCAGTCCAACATACAGAAGGTGGGGGACCAAGGCAGTTGAAATTGTTGGACTTTGTACTCCTGCCCCATGAAAGGGGCAGGCCTGAGTGAAAGTTCAATCATTCTATTCCTCTCTCAAAAAACAAAACAAAAAAAAGAACAAAACAAAACAGGCTATCAGTTTTCTGCCCAGAGTGTGAGACAGTGCTACAAGACATTTATGTAAGTTTAGACTCCAATTAACTTTGGATCAAAGGCCTGGAAGTTGTGGGTTACTGTTTTTCATAATTGGAGATAAAATTTCAAAATTTAATAAAGGCTTTTGAGCAATAACAGTCTAGAAACCACATAAGCTCGTATAATTACCTTCCTCCTTTTCACAGCAAAAAGCAGAATTATATGAGTAAGTAAAGAATTAATCACAGATTTAAAAAGATTCAGAGCAGAATTCCTCACACATTCATATGCAATGAGACCCAAACTGCTCCTGCAGAATAAGCATGCTGCATCTGAGTACAAATTTTTGAATACGGTTACACATGTATTTAATAAATCATCACCTTTTCTTCACTTACCTACTGAAATAGCCAGGTCAACATTGGTGGAAAACCTACTTAAATACTTTAATACAATCTCCAAACACCCTTCTTTGTTGAATATAGATACTGCTCTACTACTGCATTCACTAAATTGAAGGGGGGAAAAAAAAGTTTTACTATTCACATTTTAACATTAAGAAATCAACCACAGAAACCCCCACACAGAAAAACAGAACCAAAGAGCTGGAGTCAAAACCCCCCACTTGATAGATGAAGTAACAAATACCCATTCATATTCGCTGCCCATGAAAACTAGTTGTCTAGTTTACTTCCATCATGAATGGACTTTAGTCCATCTCTTTACCATGGAAGTTCCCTTACAGCAGTTTAGACTGGAGGAGATTTAGAAGTCATTTAATGCAACTCTCCATTTTACAGATGAGAAAACCCAGGGTCTAAAAGGTAAAGGGATCTATCTGGAGATCACACATCTCATTAGTGGCAGTGACGGCCCAGTTTTCCTGGGTCCAGCCTGCTATTCTTTCCACGCCAGCACAATAAAAAAGTTCAAGTAAGGACGAAAGGTTTCTTTTCATACAGAAAGCACAGATTTAAGAGAAATTTATATTTTATCCATTTCTTCTATAATTATAATCTCATCAAGTGGAATATGCAATCTGCAACAGAGATAATTACTCTAATAAATAATTACATTTGAAATTACACTACCTTTTAATAAAAGAATCAGAGAGCTATCAATGTTACTAATGAGCATACACACTAAATACAGGGTAAACAGAGCTGATTATAATAATCTTACCCATGTTTCCTCGGTACATACCCCATACACACAGGACATGCTGATGGGGCCAACAGAGCTGACTGCATTATTACATTAAAGTTGTTCTCCAAGAACAATATTTTCTGTCTGTCTATTTACCTTCCTCCCTCTAATTATTGTGGCACTGAAGTTAAGCCAGGAAAACAAGGCATACATGAGTAAAGATAATTTGAAACAGAATCTGTGAAACAAAAGTATTAACTCGAAGGTAATTATTATGAGAGTAAGTATCTCTATTGCAAAATGATAAAGATACGGCTCATAGGTGTTTGAGAAAGAGAAATCACTTTAGACTATATTCAGGCTATTTTTCTAAGTAATTAAAAAAAAAAAAAAAAAAAACTTTCCATGTCAATGATTTACAGGGGTTGGAGGTATATCTCCCTGGTACAGGGCACGCTTAGCATGCTCCAGACCCTGGGTTCAGTACCCAGCATCAATCATCCAGATCACAGAAAATAGCCCCCATCAGTTTGCTCCAGTGCCATTTCCTTACATCCTATCCCCCAGTATTTCTGTTGGGATTCCCGTGGCAGGTTTAGGATGAAATCACAGGCCAAGTTCAGACTGCTAAGGAGACAGCTTTTCAGGATTCAATTTAATGTATTCTAAGAAACACCTGTGCCTTTCTGAAATAAGGAACTATGACAGAAACCTGTTATAATTATGGACATAAAAAAGGGGAGAAAAAGCAAATCAGTTTGTTTCTAGCCACTTCCATTCCTAGCAGCAGGTATGCTCTACCCCAGGGGCACTAAAATCATGGAATGGAAAGTGCCTTCTTCCCACTGGGGCCAAAGGACTCTTCTTGTGTATGTACTTCACACTCAAATGATCACTGCCAGGAAAGAGGAGTCAGGCACCAAAGCTCGTGGCCCTCCTCTCATTCCTGACACCAAAGCAGGTAGGCACTGGGGCGACTCTGTGAAGGCAACTGCTGCCTGGGACAGGAAGGAAGGAGCTGAGACAGAGAGAGGAACATCAGGTGCTAATGGCGATGACTCTTCTTATTTTAGTCAGTAGCGATAACTGGAGGGATGAGATATAAAATGAGAAAAGGTGCACAGAAGCTATGAGGAAGAGGAGGGCAGGAGGGTTGATCTCAGGTCACCCGATATGTCATGGATGCACTGGCCTAACCCAGGGGAGCAGCACAGAGCAGCCTGGCAGCAGGAGCAGCACACTTGAAAAGCATCTTACCATATATTCCACAGCACGTTCACAGCCTCATTGGCTATGTTCTCAATAGAATTTTTGCTCTGATCTTTTTTCTCCTGTGGAGACATCTCATTTGAGTCCAGTCCAGCACTACACTGCAACCAAATATCATGATTAGCACCCTGGTTCAAAAGAATAATTAAATAGTGAAGAAACACAAAAAACAAAACATTGGAAATGACAGTGGTTAACAAGCCTATCCATTCTCAGAAGCACTACCACTCCCACAACCTTGCTTCCCTCTGGCAAGAAATATGGACAGAGGGCTGCGGCGGTAGCTCATTGGTAGAGCGCCCGCCTCACGCATGTGAGGCACTGGGTTTGATCATCAGCACCACATAAAAATAAATAAAGATATTGTGTCCAACTACAATATATATATATATATATATATATATATATATATATATATAATCACATATATAAAGAAATACGGACAAGAAAGGTTCTTAAATCATTGGCAAACTTGATAGAAAACATTCACATTTTAAAATGCAAGAACAAAACCAAGATAAAGTATTGTAGCTTATGTGAAAAAACAGTAAGAAAGGCAAAGAAATGTTAAGAGCTAGATCTGTATAGCACCTCCTGATGCACCATTCTAAGCACCTGACATATATCAATTAAGTCATTTAATCCCCACAGCGAACCTTTGAGGTGGATGACTAGCATGCCTAACCTCATCAGATGGCTAGGAAACTGAGCGCTGGGAGGCTGCTGAGGGTGCAGCTTAGCATGTGGTGAGGCCGGACCAGAGCTGGCACCCTCTACCACTCTGCAACTGCAGTCCATGACAAGAGCTTCCCCATCTAAGTCTCCTCTATCATTCCCATATTTGGATCAGATGATTCTTTGTTGTGAGAAGACTGCCCCCTGCATTAAAGGAGGGTCAGCAACATCCCTGGCCTCTATTCACTATATGGCAGCAGCAACCCTTACCCCTCCCCTCCAAACTGTGACAATCTGAATGTCTTCAGATGTTGTCAAATGTTCCCTGTGGAGCAAAATCACCCCCAGTCGAGCATCATTGCTCTAATGGAAATAATACTGATGCCTGGCATCAAAACAAAATCTTGGGCTGGGGCTGCAGCTCAGTGGTAGAGCACTTGCCTAGCACGTGTGAGTCCCTGGGTTCAATCCTCAGCACCACATAAAAAATAAATAGAATAAAGGTATTGTGAAAAAAAAAAAATCTTAAAAAAAAAAAAAAAGGATAACTTTTAGGTAGCCTTAAATGAAAGTTAATAGTTAATATAGAATAGTGGACTGGGGATGTAGCCCAGTGGTTATACACTTGTGTAGGAGGCACAAGGCCCTGGGTGAATGTGAGAGAGAGTGTGAGTGTGAGTGTGTGTTTGTGTGTGTGTGTGAGAAAGTAGGTGTTCCTTAACAACCGAACTATACCATGTGATAAGAATGGTGTGATATTAAACATAAGAACTCAATACGATCTTCGTTAGTTCATAAAGTCTGTGTCCTGGGTCTGTCATCTATAAAATGAGGATAATATAATACCTGCCTGTTATGGTTTGGATATAAGGTATCCCCCCAAAACTCCTGTGTTAATCCAGGAATATTCAGAGGTAAAATGACTGGATTATGAATGTTATAGCTAATCAGTCCATCCTGATTTGAATGGACTGAGTGGTCAACATGGCATGATGTTCTGGTCCCAAACAATGAAGCCAGCTGACTATGGACTGGACCTCTAAACTGAGAGCCAAAATGGACTCTTCTCCTCTAAGTTGTTCTTGTCAGGTATTCTGGTTACAACAACAAAAAGCTGACTAATCCACGGCTGCAGCCTGGGGGTACAGTTCAGCGGCAGGGCCCTTGCCTGGCATGCACTGGCCCTGGGTGTGATCCCAGCACTGCAAGAAAAAGAATCCTGTCTCACAGGATTGCTGTGAGGATTAAATTAACACGCACAACATAAAAACCATACCTGGTACATAAGATGCAATCAACACACACTTAACTATTTTCACTGTATAAAATTTAAAGTCTAAAAAATGGCTATAAGAAATCTGCATAGTTTTAGGAAGGTCCTTTCCAATTATCATATAAATATAAGGAAACAGGCTCAAAATAAGAGAGATTGGGATCAATGATGAGAGTAGATCAGTGTTTCCAAGAAAATAAACAAAATTTCTGTAGGATGTTTTAAGGAAAGACAAAGAACACCAAAGTACTTAAAAAAAAAAAAAAAAAGTCCATCTTAGCTTGCCTTCAAAAAGCGACGTTTGGAAGCTGCCATTCAGATACCTTAAAAACTGCATACCTCTTTTAGTAGTGCCACCAGAGGAGTCATGACGTCCTTAGTTACCATGTCATCGCAAATTTCAAAGCCTCCACAAGCACTGAAGTTTCTATATAAGAAGTTTAAAATATGTTTTACTTTCATATCACAAGCCACAAAATACTATTAGGCCCTCAAATTTATTTCTACCTTTAACCATATGTACATTTTACCAAAGGAAATCTTCATTATTTCTGTCATATGCTGCAAAACCAATCCACAGAATTCCACCTGTTCTCGTCCTTATTCTACTAGATGTAAACCACTAGTTATTCTACTAGATGACTTTATTATTTAATAATTTAACTGAGGTAGCACACAGGTGCTTGGCTAAAGGAAAGGGAAAAGACTTTAGAAAAGTGAATAAATTACATCTTGTATGAAGGGACCATTTCTTGCAATCAAGACTGCAAGAGGGGTTGGGGTGGGGCTTAGTGGTAGAAGATTTGCCTGTCGTGTAGGAAGCCCTGGGTTTGATCCCCAGAATTGCCCAAATAAGACTACAGGGGCAAGAGCAGGTGAGGCTACTGGGAATTACACAGTCTGAAGTAGCCCTGGCTACATTTAATTTTAATTGAGAAAACACTGCTTGCCTTCTGAATGCACAGCTTTGTACCAGCTCTAAAAACATAGAGATAAGTCAGAAGATGCCCTTAAAATATTCCAGGTGCTCCCGGTTTGTATTAGGGGGAATGGTAGGGTTTTCCACATACCATTTTCTCCCCAGAGGTAGAAGGATGTTCAACCACCCTCTATCAAGTGGGAAATTCCCACCCATCCCTTAATCTCACCTCAAACATCATTGGCTCAGGATTTTCTTCCCTGAACTACTAGTTATATCCTCTCAAAGAAAGCATCTTTTGCACTTCCTACTGGTTGGAATTGCACACTTAATGTAAATGGTTTGGTTAATGCTTGTCTACCTCAATAGATATTCATTAAGGAAAGAAATTATGCCTGCCTTCCTCATTACCCCATGCCCAGACCCTAGCCAGTGCCTGGCACATAGTAGGCATGTGATACAAAACTGCTGTCAGTGATGGAAACATAAATAATACATATACACAGAAATGTAAGAACAACAAATCATTACTTCTACTCTTGCCCCCCCTACAGTCCATTCTCTATACAGCCACCAAAGCAAATCAGACCATGTCACTCCCCAGCTTAGGTCCTTTGGCTCCACAATACCCTCCACCTTATCCAGCTCTCCCACCAGGGCTCCTACAATTCCCCACTCCTACTCTACTGAGCCACACACTAACCATTCTGCGGATTAACCACATCAGTCAAGCCGTGTGCTGCCTCACTTCTCTGCTATTGCCGGTCCTCTCATGGGGAATGCTCTTCCCCCTATTTCCCTCTCATTCTTCAGGTCGCAGTTCACAAATGTCATCTAGAAAGCACCCAATTTAAACTTCCCACCGGCAAATCATCATTCTCATGTTTTTCCAGAGCAGTTCTATCTAATATCATCTATTTATCATTTTACTCGTTTTCTCTCCCCATCAACGTAGCTTCTGCAAAGATAGGATCGTGGCTGTCACGCTCAACGTCCTGCCTGCCCTTAGACCAATTCCTAGCACAAACTGGAAGAGGTCAGACAACTGAGTGACTCTCTGGAGGGTTCAAGGAGAGGAAGAAATGAGAGCCAGGTTTGAAGGCAAGGAGCCTGGCCAGGTGGCTGCTGCCAACCGACAGATGAAATGCGGGAGTCCTGGTGTCCTCTGAAGTCTAGATGGAGCGTAGGTTCACATCCCCAGACTCCTGCCACTGTGAGACCAGGAGCAGGTTTTTCGCCCTTCCAAGCGCCTGGGAATGAAGCAAGGAGAGTGCGTGCCTGGCAAACATAAAGCGCTGGCTGCCTACTGTGACAGCTCAGGCTCAGAGGACAGCAGCGGTGGGCACCACCCCGGACCCTCTCCCGGCTCACCTCAGCGCGCCGGCCGCCGTCTCCCTAACAGCCAGGCTGGGGTCGAGCAGCAGCGGCCCGAGTCGGCGCACAGCATCGCGGCGAGCCAGAGCCGGGAGCACCGGCTTCTGCTGCACCAGCCGGGCCAGCCCCGCGCAGGCGCACTCGCGAACCTCGGCGGTCGGGTGCTGGAGCTGCGGTACAAGAGCAAGGCGTCAGGGACGCAGTGCGCACGCGCGCCCGGGGCTTGGCGCTGGAGCTCGGTCTGCCCCAGCCCAGTACCCGCTCCCCGGGTCTGGCGGTGTTCTCGCCTCACTCACCTTTTCCAGCAGCTCCGCCTCTGGCCCGTCGTCATCTTCTTCTCCGTTCTCTGCTGCTGCCGCCTCGGCCTGACAGTTGCCGGTGGGAGAGAACTGAGGTCGCTTGAAGCGTTTCGTCCGACTCTTTCCCATGGCGACGCGCGCTGTGGGGATGGACCGAGAAAGGAAGGCAACAGCAGACTGTGGGGGCTGCGGAGCTCGTGATAAGGCCTCGTCGCTGAGGGGTATTCGTGTTCTGCTTAGCTGGGCCGGGTGACGGCCCGAGCACACATGGAGAAGGAGCGCGCATGCGTGCGTCGCGTTGGCGGCGAGGAGGGGGCTGGCACGGGGATTGCGCAGGCGTGTAGGAGAGTGTGGGCGGGGCCAGCCCTGGCAGGAGGCGGAGTCCTGTGCTTTCTCCTGAGAATGACAGGGTCTCCGCCTCCATCCAATAAATGCATAGCTTTTAAGTGAGCTCTGTAAGGAAGGAAAGTTCCGTCTCGCAGTAATCCTGTCCTCCAGGAGTTGACTGTCTAACAAGGGAAATAACATATTTCCAAAACATATTTTAGAAAATAATTCCAGAGATGCAGTTCCCATACAGAAACGCAGGCCTAGCAAAGATCTACTTTAAATATAAGGAAACTTTGGCGCTACCAATTTATGTTGATAGGATTTTTTTCCCTAGATCTCTCTCGTATCTGGCCACAGATTCTGCGTCTCCCTAGTCCAAGTTACTGTCTTCATTGTTTCTCCATTTCCATCCTACCCACCCCCATCCACAGAGCAGTTGTGTGACATTTTCAAAACATCCCTCCACTTTCTCTTTATTTTCACTCCCTTGCTTAAAAATCTTTCCATGGCCATAGGCACCTCCACTGATTTTGTGGTCAGGGATAGATCTTTCTTTCTTTTCTTTCCTTTTTTTTTTTTTTTTTTTTTTTGGTGCTGGGGATTGAACCCAGGGTCTTGTGGGAGCAAGGGGAGCACTCTACCAACGGAGCTGTATCCCCAGACCCAGGTCTGTCTTGAAACAGTTTATACCTTGTTCCTTTGTTACAAAGCACAGGTCAAGATTACAGTCGTGAAACACAGTTTCTTTGTGTAGCTGTACAGTTACCAGCTTAACACCATCCTGTGAGGACAAAATGAACAGTTTCCACACATAGTATTTCCAACACTAGCCCAGGGTCTGGCACAAAATTGGCATACAACTTCTTGAATGAATGGAGACTACATAAATCAGGAAATCTAGATGGAGTAAAATGATAAGAATTTTGAAGAGATAAAACCAAATTCCTGCTTTTCTCTGTGGGAATAAGCAAGAAAAAAAAATTGTTCAGAAACCATAACTGGTGCCTGGTATGGTGGTGCACCGCTGTAATCCCAGGTACTTGGAAGGCTGAGGCAGGAGGATGGCAAGTTCCAAGCCAGCTTGGGCAACTTAGCAAGACCCTGTATTAAAATAAAAAAAAATAAAAATAAAAGGACTTCGATGTAGCTCAGTAGTAGAGTGCCCCTGGCTGGGTTCAATCAGGAAAGAAAGCTAAATACTACCCTGGACTTCTGTTTCTCCCCCTTCACATGTTTGTAATGTGACCTGCTCTGCAAAACATGCTCTGCAACACTTCCTAAAAACCTGACAGTCCCTTTTGTGGCTGCAGAATCCAGGTGGCCACAGCACCCTGCTATGTAGGGCCAACACCTCATCTCCAGCCAGAGAAGCCTCTTCAGCCTTCCCCAAACCACATTTGGACCATTCTTTTCCTAAGCCTGGGGAACTGGAGAGCTCAGCAAACTTCTACTGCTCCCTCTGACATGGATCATTTCCACTTTCCCGGTATACAGTCTCAGATCTATTTACAACTGTAGGGACTTATTGTGGGAGGGGAGGGAGACATAAAAAAAGAAAAAAGGGCCAGCCCATTGGACCTGGCCTGTTGTCCTTACCCTCCCTGCTGTTCCATTAGATATACCACGCTTGGGCCCTCCATGTATTTCATGTCCTCTGCCTCTCTTTTTTAGAGTTGTCCATGAATTGTCATCAAAGATGTGCATGTAGGGGGCTGGGGCTGTAGCTCAGTGGCAGAACACTTTCCTAGCACTTGTTAGGCACTGGGTTTGATCCTTTGCACCACATAAAAATAAACAAATAAAATAAAGGCATGTTGTCCATCTACAACTACATTTTTTGTTGTTATTTTTAAAGTATGTATGTAGGGGCTGGGATGCAGCATGCACCCGGGATGCCTGGGTGCTGCCCTCACTAGCCTGGGAGCTCCTGGGAGGAGGGCCAAGGATAGCATTTGTATTAGCAGCACCCGACAGCTCAATGAAAGTCCCTGCGGCGTCCACTCCTGTTATATGGTTACTGCCCTCTGTCTCAGCTGGCCCTACACAAAATGACCAGGCAGTCATCAGCAAGGAATGTCATTGCTGTCAGTCCTCTGCAAGATAGATGATGGCCTCTGGTTATTCCAGATCTGCCACCAATGAACTGTAATGACCAAGGGAAGGTTTCTCTATTCAGAAAGACTTTGAGGGGTCTCAAAATATCAAAGGGCTGGGAACCATTTTGATCATTTTTTGGGGAAAAAAGGAAATTATTTTTGGAAAGAAAATTGCATGTTGATGGCCTCCGGAGCATGTGGGACAGACACTATTGTTGCTGACCTCCCATCTGGGCCTCAATTTGCCATGGCAGGTAAGATGATAACGGGATTACTGATAGCTAGCCAAGAAAGTCCACTGCAAAGGGACTTGCTGCCCACTAAATGTCACATCATTTATTCATTCATTTAATAAATATCTACTGCTGTGTGCTTCCTATGTGTCAGGCACAATACTGGGTGCTAGGGATAAGGAGATAATTAAGACCCAGTCTCTGATGTTAACACAGCTACTATACAAGTGAACTGTTAAGGAAGACTATCCCAAGCTTAGAAGTGAGGAAAAAAGATGATTGCATATTTTTTAAATGGGCCCAGGGTTTGACAGACCTGTTGAAGGATTCTGCAGGGCACTACTATCCAGCAGAAATTTCTACAATGAGGAAATTGTTCTCTACCCTCTCCAGTACAGTGGCCACAAGCCACATGTGGTTATCAAGCACTGGAAATGTGGCTGGTGCAACTGAGGAGCTCCATTTTCAATTTTAATTAATTTTAATTTTTAAACAGCTCTTTTACTTTAAATGGTGGCTCCAGATTAGTAAAGCAAAGCTTTAGAGCAGTGGGTCTGAACCAGGGGCAATTTTGCTCTGCAGAGGAAAGATGGCCGCATTTGGGGATGCTTTCGTTGTCACAACTGAGGAGGTGCCACTGGCATCTAACAGATAGAGGCAGGCATGGTTGACATGGTGGGCTGGGAGGGACATCCTGTGTATTCTAGCATATTCAACAGCACACTAGATGCCAGGAGCAATCCCCAGTTGTGATTAGCCAAACACGTCTTCAGTGATGGCCATATGTCCCCTGAGAGGCAAAATCACCTTTGGTTGAGAATTGCTACTCCAGAGTAAAATATGAAACTGAGGGAAATCCTGAATAAATCCATTAATTTCACTTCTTTTAGTTTGAATTTCACACTCACTAATTTTGGAGGTCATGTATTACTAATTTTGCATGAGCCTTGCCATCCATGGCACCTCTGATGTGTGGATCATGATGGTAATGGTCACCTGGTTACTTTTCATGAACTTGAAGGCTGATGTGATGAAACCGCTGACTCTTCACTTGGGCCTGTGTAAGTGTCCAGTGGATGTCCTCTTTGATGTCAGGAGGCTGATAATCCTACCCTCAGATCATGGTAATGCTGCCATTTTCTGACCATGTGCCCTAGGAAGAGCTATGAAGACTGATTATGCATTCACAGACCACTGGTTACTTCACTTCCAATCACCTTTCCCCCTCCTAAAACCACTTGGCTTCTTTATCTTATGAATCTCAGGGAGGAGGCTTTGAGAGTTGGTGTCTGATCTTCAAGCTTGGCCACCTTAATAATAAACTCTCTTTTGCAAAACTCATTGTTTTGGCCCAGGCATAGTGGCCCTCACTTATAATCCTGGTGGCTTGTGTAGTCGGAATGACGCCTGGCATTTTGCTAGAGGGAATGGTTGAAAGATGACCCTGCTCTGGGATTAGGGCGGATCCCGGCGCCCGCTACTTTGGAGTTTCTGTTGAGTTCTCGCGGGGGATTCTGGGAGAATTGGCGCAAGGAGCCTGGTGGAGGGAGTGTGTTCCCGGGAAGTGTGTGTAGAGTGCCGGTGAGAGTTCAGGAATAAAGAGTTGCTTTTTGAATCTACAAGGCTTTATGGCGGCTCGGTTATTTGTGCCCAGCCAGACTGCAGCAGTGGCTCAGGAGGCTGAGGCAGGAGATTACAAGTTTGAGGCCACCCTCAGCAATTTAGCAAGGCTCTAAGCAACTTAGTAAGACCCTGACTTAAAATAAAAAATAAAGAAGACTGGGGATGTAGCTCAGTGGTAAAGTACCTGTGGACTCAATCCCTAGTACCAAACGATACATTGTTTTGGTGATTGGTGTACTACACGGTGGGCAAAAGGGACCTTGTTTGTTTACATATGAAGAGAAAAACTTAAGAAAGTATATATACCAAAATGTCACCTATGTTTGCTTTTGAGTGGAATTAAAGGAGATTTCTTTTCTTTCTTTCTGAATCTTTTATTTGGCACTGGGGATTGAACCCAGGGGTACTTTATTACACATACCCAGTCCTTTTTATTTTTTGTTTTGAGACAGGGAATATATCTTTATCCTTGCAATCTATTACTTGTTTTTGTGATTGTTTGGACCAAGTGGACATTGTAAAAGAGAATACCTGGGATGGTCATGTTGCATCTGCTTGAATGGATTTATTTCTAATTCAAATTGCCCCAAATCCTAACTCTCCCAACAGGCATTAGTTTCTTTTTCTTTTCTTTCTTTCTTTTTTATTTTTGTTTTGGAGTGCTGAGGAAACACTTTAAGCTGATCTGCATCCTCACCAATGCTGGTATTGTCGGCCTTCCTCATTCTAACCATCTTGGCTGGTGTGTAGCAACTGGAATTCTCAAACATTGATGGATGATGGGGATGTAAAATGGCACAATTGTTTTAGGAAACAGTTTGGCAGTTTCTGATAAAGCTAATATGCAGGCTGAGGATGTGGTTCGGTGGTAGAGCACTTGCCTAGCCTACGAGAGGCCCGGGGTTCCATTCCTTATACCAAAAAAATAAAAGCTACATATGTAAGGGTCCCGCGAAACATCGGAGAAAGAGACCACCAAGTGACCACTCATGCAATTGGCAGAAGGGGATTTATTGAACCAGCAT